CTTGATATGCTTTATATTTTTTTATGTAGTCTGTAACCAAGAATGCAACTAACTACAGAATAATGCTAACATATACTAGAGCAGATAACCAATAATGCTTAGCAGAATAGTGCTAACCTATGCTAGAGCAGATAACTAAGAATTCTTAACACTAACTGCAAAATAATGCTATTGCTAAAGCATATAACAATTAACAATAGTATAATCCCCTGTCCGCAGAAAATCAAAAAGTCAATACTCATTTGAAGAGAAGGTTCCACTGTCCACAGAGGAGATTTTCTTTGAGGTTTTAAGATTTTTTTTTTTTTTTTGCCTTCCTTTGCTGCTCGATAATGGCCAAAATAAAATGGGAGAAGTCACAGACTACACTTTCAAAACCAATGCTTGAGCAGAAAACAACAGTGCTATTGCTCGAATACTTCCTATTACAGGCAAAAACTGAAATTTCATATCACAAATTGCTCATTTGGAAAGAAGGTTTCGTCATCCTCTTGAAATTACACAGTCGCCCAAAAAAATCAGATTCCCTATCAAACCTTAATCACGGATTTTAACAGGTAAGAGTGTATGACGTGAAACTTACATCCTCGGAGTTATGACTGTGAGCCCGTGAAGTTCACCTCGCACGGATGAGCGATGGCGACTGGAATGGTAACGGGACAGTGAAGAGTGGCGAGGGGCCGACAGCGACGGCAAGCCAATGGGCAATGGACGAGGGAGAAGAACGGGGCAAAGAACGGGGATGGGTGATGGTGATGGTAATGGCGAAGGTGATGGGCGATGGTGATGGACCGATGGTAATGGCGATTGCGGGCTAGAGTTTTTTTAGGGGCAAAGAACGGGGGTACAGGAGAAGAAAGAAAGAAAGAAGGAATTTAGAATGTTGATTTTTTTAGAAATTTTTTATATATAAATATCATAAGTGGAATAAAATTGTAAAATGACCAAATACACCCTAGAGTATATACAATATAATTGGACCTCTAAGGACTATTTATGTAAATATATATATATATATATAACGAGCTGCTCTTCGAGCAGCTCGCGACTAAAAAACTGGGGCTCGAGATCGGCTCGCGTTCGGGCTAGAGCTGCTCGAGCTCGACTCGAGCTCGAGTTTGACCGAGCTCGAGTCGTTTGCAGTCCTAGATGTATTTATAAACAAAGAATGAGAATATGAAATATAAATTACTGATACTTATTGAGAAGTGTGATATAAATAAAATTTAAATTTATCAGTAATAAAAAGTGTGATATAGATAGAAAATAAATAAAATATAAAAATAAAAAGAAAAAAAGTTAATTAAATAATTATTTAAAGAAAAAAAAAAAAACAAAATCATGTGTAGCATGCATAATAAAATATGATTTTATTAAAAAAAAAAAAACAGACTAACAGGGGTTCAATGAATTGAACAAAGAAATGGGCCCTTTTTTAATAGATGGGCTCGCATTCATGTTAACGCAAGGTGTTTAAACGAAAAAAAAAAAAAAAAAAAAATATTAACGATGCGGATGCTTTTACACGCCATTACACGTTGGACGAGGGACCGAGGGTAATGCTCTCACGTTGACACGAAGCAAATTCTTTAATCATATATCGTTTCTGTTTTTCCACCGTTGATTTGCCTATCCCTCACGAACAAGTCGACGGCTGAGATCAGCCAAACCACCTCTACAAATTCAGGCCTACCCGCTTTCCTTCCACTTCCACACACAACTACACATAAAAAATCCCCCTCCCCTTTCTCTCTCTCACACACACACACTAAAATGGCAGCTTCCCAGCCCGCAACCATATCAGTCGGCGACAAGCTCCCCGACGCCACCCTCTCCTACTTCAACCCCTCCGGCGAGCTCAAGACCGTATCGATCTCCGATCTCACCTCCGGCAAGAAGGTCGTCATCCTCGCAGTCCCCGGCGCGTTCACCCCCACCTGCTCGCAGAAGCACCTCCCTGGGTTCGTGGAGAAGGCCGCCGAGTTCAAGGCAAAGGGTATCGACACCATCGCGTGCGTTTCCGTGAACGACGCCTTCGTGATGAAGGCGTGGAAGGCGGATCTGAAGATCGGGGACGAGGTGATGCTGCTGAGCGACGGAAATGGCGGATTCACTAGGGCGATCGGGTGCCAGCTCGATTTGAGCGACAATCCGGCGGGCTTGGGAGTTCGATCGAAGAGGTACGCCATGTATGTTGAGGATGGAGTCGTGAAGGTCCTGAATCTGGAGCAAGGAGGGAGTTTCAGTGTTAGCAGCGCCGAGGATCTGCTCAAGGCCATCTAATACTGTTAGGTCTGTCTCTCTTTCTTCAATAATAAATGGCAGAACGATTCGATAAGATGAAAATGCCTAATTTGGGAGTACTGATTGAGTGGTTGAGTTTTGAAATGGGGAGTTCGTGTTGTTCTCTTATGTTGTGGCTAGCAATGTTGTCACTGAAATTTTATGTTGGGGATGATAAAGTTATGTACTGTTTTTCAGAGCAAGAAATTAGTTCCTTTTTGTGCTGCTTATGAATCTTTGATAGTGTTGCTTGTGTGTGAAAATTTGGAATGCCTATGAGCAGCTGAAATCCTTGATGTATCGAGTTTGCATCGATTCTCTGTTTTTATGATGTTCGGATGCCACTTTGTTGGCTAATGGTTTCGTACATATGATAATGTTGTTTGTGTGTATATATTTGGGATTCTTATAAACAGCTGAATGCCTGGATGTGGCACTTTGAGTTTACTATGATTTCCTCTGTTAACACGTTTGGACGCCACGCCATTTTGTTCGTTAATGGCTTCGTCTAGGTTTTGGGGCAGTTTTTTTTTTGGCCATTGTTTGGTGATGCTTGTTGTTATTGTGAGTTGTGAAGATAATTGAATATTGTGTATGTGTTAACTGTTACCGAAGTGGATGTATTAACTAGATTGTGGAGTGTTCAAAATATTCTTAGCAATGGTAGAGCTATAGAGCTTATTAATTGCCAAATCATTTGGTGAAGTTGCCAGTTTCTGTATGTTAATATGTTCGGACGCCATTTAGTTTGCTAGTGCTTCGTCTAGGTCTTGTGGCAGTTTGTTTGGCAATAGTTTGGTGATGCGTGTTATTATTGTGAGTCGTGTGATGATAATTGAGTGTACGTACCAATATACTTAGTTTGGTGATGCGTGTTATTATTGGGTATATATTGATCCAACTGATGTTACAAAGTCATCATTTAGGCCTATTGTTTCTCCCTTCAGTGTGCATCCAAGTTGAGTAGTTTTTTCTTTTTAGCTATTTTTTCTCTGGGAAATCATTCGGCCATTGCAACAATTTTGAGCCTCAAAATAAGGATCATTTTGAATTTTGTATTTCAGCAACTTCAACTAGTATAATCATCATTCAGTGCTGTTGGATGTTTATGTATGGTTGTTTTCACAAGCACCTGGCTGAATGAAAACGAGTCGTTTTGTTTGGGTTCTCGTAGTCACACAGTAGTTAGTAACACGATTATTGGTTCTATTAAGAGATTTTAGATAGTTGTCGACTTTTTAGGGCCAAATCAAGACTAGCACTCCCTGCAGGTCAGATGCTTGGCAGAATGAATAAATACATCTTAGCAGTCTTCTAGCTTAAAAAATATTGGTTTCTTATGATTTTGGTAGAATGACCGTTTTTCTTTTTTCCCCGAAATGATACGGGTTTAATAATTACTCGTGGCACGAAGTATATTTGCTTATATAATGGGCGCGGTTATTGAGAACTGAAGAGGAACTAGTTTTGGTATCTGTTTATAGACCAGCCATCCTCCAGGCACCAGTCGAGACCTGCTAGTCGAGACCTGCTGAACCTCAATAAGTTCCTAGTCAAGACGTGTTTAAATTTTTTAACTCCAGGATAACAAGTACTTGTCACTACCCTATACCTTGGTGGCCTGGAGGATAAACTTTAAATAATACAGTTGTAATTGGCTTGAGCATCATTGATTTTGGTCCAATATACCGTTAAGTGCTTGTGCATGTGTAATAAAATCTGTTAATTTGGTATATTTAAATTTAATTAGTGATAAGTGAACTTAGGTGACTTCAATTTTTGGATCTGTTGACAGAATTGGGTTATATTAATATATATCATTCTTTTTTTCCTCCTTTTTATTTCCATTAGTTTAGTTAAATGAAGCCATTATCACAGTTTTTATATTTTTTTGACTACATATTAATATGAATGAACGCGACTCAAAATCTGGTGTCATTAAAATATTGTAATAATTGTCCAAAAATATAAGGTAAGGGGAAAAACCAAAAATTGAGGAGGAAAAAAATGTATTAAAAAAAGCGGTGTGATTAATGACAAAAAAGTAAAAAAAAAAAATGCTGGCTATGGGGTTCGAACCCATGCGCACTTATGTGCAGAAGATCTTAAGTCTTCCCCCTTAACCTCTCGGGCAAACCAGCTCTAATACTTAGATGGTAACTTATGTTACATATTGTATCCAAATTTAAGACATTTATTTATTGGGATAGATAAGACTACCATCATTTATTTTTGTGATGGGAATGTTAACAAGAAGTTACTGAATACATTCAAGCCTACGAAAGACATGATGAAAAAGACATGTTCAACTCTGAAATTAAACAGTGTCTTTTTCAACACCCTTAAAGATAAATACTTTGAAGTTGAATAATTATCCAAACTCATCTCTCATTCAACAAACATCAAACTTGAATAGGTACTTACCACGCATGTCGGCCCAACCCTCTTTCAACCTCGTCTGCCCAAGACCAAATAAATCCAGCCCAACTCACTTACACAGATCTCTCTTTCGGTCTTTCCAATTAATCGGGGCTGAATAAAACCCAGGCTTACATTTGACCCTGATGGGTCTTCTCTTAGATCTGGAGTAAACCGGTTGAGATGAGCTCCGATCTGTCTGGATCGCCTCTAGACTGCCGCGAATACCTGCAAGAACCCAACGCCGGTGGGTTACCGGCGAAGGGCCTCCAACGCTCAAGTCAGTAAACAAAAGAGAGGAAGATGGAAGCTCTGTATTCTAGAGCTGTAATGTATGTAGAAGTGTGTAGAATGTGGAGAGATGAGTTAGGGTTGTACCTGGTCCCCTTTTATAAGAGAAATACTTGTCCAAAAATACCTGCCCGGACCGCCCTCAGCCAGTCTGCTCGTATTGCCCGAGATTTGATCTTGTCTGTATCTTAATCATATCTGAGTCATCATCAGATTCCTTCTTATCTAATGCAGGTGTGAACATCCTGGTCTGGTTTAGGGTAGATCGATTCTTGTCCTCGTCGATAGAACGCCGGAAACCTGCAAACAACTCTCACACCAGGGGTTGTCTCCGGTGAAGAGCCTCCGATGCTTAAGTCAGTATGTGTTTGAGTATACTGAAGTGAATAATAGAGAAATCGTGTTGAAGAAGAAAGGCTCACCCCCTTTATATAGGGGTGAGATACCTAACCTAGGGCTGCCCGGATTTGGTGAGCTGTCTGCCCTAACTGTCGTCCGTACACACAATACGCATGTGCCAGAGGTAGTCGTCGCCACTATCGCCTGCACCAATACTCTTTAGACCCGTGTCCTCCTACACATGGGGTAAGCTGTCAGATGTGGTTGTCGCTGTCAACCAATAAGTTCTCGACACGTGTCCTCCTGCACATGGGATGAATATTCTTCTGAAATTCCGTTAAAGGCTCTCACACGCGCCTGTGACTAGGCCAATCCATTAGAGTGTCAGGTCTGCAAGATGATCGACCTATTGAGGTCGACTGAGTTGCTCGATCACTCATCTGGTCCAGTGATGGGTTGGTCGACTACTTAACTGGTCGACAAGTTAGCTGCTCGATCTTCCCGCCACTTGGTTCGGTTCCTTCATGATATGACCTCCTCGTCCGGTTCATCAGGCCGATTTAGCCTGGTAGGTATAATATCCTATATCATTGTCCATTTACTGCCTCTAGATCATGCTCTTGTAGTCACAGGGACCTCTAGTCCTAGATACCTCTAGCAGCGGAGACCTCTAGCAGTGGGGACCTCTAGTCATAGAGACCTCTAGTTGTGGTGAGATTTAACTCATATTTTATCAAGTCGAAATGAGATGACCTCTAGCAGGTCGAGACGAGATGACCTCTAGCGGGTAGAGGTGAGTGACCTCTAGCAAGTTTAGCAGGTCGAGACGAGATGACCTCTAGCAAGTCTAGCGGGTTTAGTCGAGATGACCTCTAGCAAGTCTAGCAGGTCGAGACGAGATGACCTCTAGCAAGTCTAGCAGGTGTAGACGAGATGACCTTTAGCAAGTCTAGCAAGTCGAGACGAGATGACCTCTAGCAAGTCTAGCAGGTGTAGAAGAGATGACCTCTAGCATGTCGAGTAGCAAGTCTAGCAGGTCGAGACGAGATGACCTCTAGCAAGTCTAGCAGGTCGAGACGATCTCTAGCAAGTCTAGCAGGTGTAGACGAGATGACCTCTAGCAGGTCGAGACGAGATGACCTCTAGTAGGTAGAGGCTAGATGACCTCTAGCAGGTAGAGGTGAGTGACATCTAGCAGGTAGAGGAGAGCACCTCTACTTTTTCATACTTAGTCGTGGGGAGCTTCTCAAACTTCGTAACAGAGAGCACCATCTACTTTCCCATACTTAGTCGTGGGGAGCTTCTCATACTTAGTCACATAGAGCACCTCTGCTTCCCCATACTTAGTCGTGGAGAGTTCTTCATACTTAGTCACCGAGACCTTCAAGTCTCGTCTGGACCTCCTCAGGTCGCTCTTTCTCGATTGCGCTTGGACCTTTTCATGCTTGACTCCGGTTCACAAGTATGGCTATATCACCCTATCACACCGGATCGCATCTTCAATGGCCGTGCCGGAATCTTTCAGCGGGCCACGATTCCTAATTCGGGCCACATAACTTTTAAGCTTGTGAGGTTATTCCTAGTTTGTTGTATCTCTCCATATTTATCTAATAGTTCTTGCATCTTTATAACACAACTTTGAAGTTAAATATTAAAGACATGCTTATTTACAAATTAATTTACTCACATTTAATTTATACTCAGAATCTAAATCAACTTTAACTCAATCACACTATCCTCAATATTATTCATATAATTAAATAATACAAACCAATCATTCTTACACACATCAACTTTAATTCACTATTCATCAACTCACATAATTTTAACTACATATCATTTCCAATCATTTATCTCATACTTCTACATCAAATCAATCTTAATAATTTTATTTTAAATATCATCTTAGTACATTCTTAAAATCCCATTAGCTACTAACCATACTGATATAG